TTAGCTTATTGTGCCAACCTGGCCGATAAACACATGTGGGGTTAATTGAAGGGCGGTGGGGTAAATGGCTCAGTGAGCCTCGCCTTTCTAGTTCTTGGGTGCAGCTGCCTTAGCCAGTTCCCTGCTTCAGCTGGCAAGGCTCATTTCCTGCAAGACATCCCCAAGGAGAAGCCACATGGACCTACCCCTATGCAGCCCTGGGTGCTGGGGCAGCCGTGTGGAGACCCCTGCCAGCGCTGAGATGCTTACACACTCACTGACTCAGCTTTCCTCCTGCAGTCGGCATCATTGTGTCTGTTTTGGGAAGTGGAGGAGGACTTTGTGGACTGGTGTTGGATATATGGGTTAATGTTGGACTTGTGGGGTTTGGGCAGCACTGGGTTGGGATGTTTTCTTGATGCACACTTAACCTTTACATAAAACTCTCTTATACATGAGTTGCTGTGGATTTGTTTCTCTAAAGTGCCCAGACTAACACAAGGTTGGAGGGGCTCTTGCTTTATTACTCAAACACTGGCATCACTGGCAGGGAGGCAAACTCAAAGAAATCAGCGGTCAAGTCCAAATTCTAAGTTCTGACTGCTTTCCACCCCCTTTCCCCTTTCCTCACACGGGGCACCTGACTTCCTAGGGCATCGAGATGCATCCCAGGAGGCGGGCCTCTGGGAAAGCGACTCGTTTCCAGTATCTAAATCAAGTCTGCCCTTCGTACTATTTGGCAAAGGCACTTGTTAAGAGCTGGGGAGAGTGCCCACCCTTTCATTAAGAGTGGACATTTTAATCAAAGGCGAAGAAAAATATACAAGAAAGCAAACGTTTGTCCCAGAGGGAAGAAGGAGCTGAGCGGTGAGCGGATCCTGCAGCAAGAAGCCGCTCAGAGGCACCGGGCCCCCTGCTTCTGGCTCATCCTCTTCTCTGCGCCTCCGATCTGCCCAGTTACAGGGCAGAAAAGACACGGATCCGGAAGGAAGGTGAGGAAGGCAGTTTCTCTTCGCTTGGCGGTTCTGCCTTTGTCCCCATTACTTCGGGGGTGACTACTACAGGCCGGTAAAAGTGTCATCATATGTATCTAAGATTGTAGGAGCCTAAGAACAAGATGACCACCGCCACAGCACCCCCGCTCCCCCCATTCAGGACCCAGGGAGATCTTGTGCAGCCCCTAGGACAGTGGCTCCCCCAGTCAGGAGACGCTTGGCAATGTGTGGGGCAGATGCGAGGATGCCACAACTGGAGGGATACTACTATGGGCACCCGGAGGCCGTGGAGGCCACTCGACATCCTACAGTTCATAAGCCAGCCCCCCCCCCAGCAAAGAGTTATGGGCATACCCTATTTCATGGTGCCTTGCCTTATTACACTTTGCAGACAGCAGTACCTTTAATTTTTTTGAAGTTTTTATTTATTAAACTGATTTTTATTTTATTTCTGCATGTCTATTGGCACCCTTTCTGCAAAAGCATGTGCGCATAGTGTGCCTCAGTGTCAGCTTTTGGTTGTTCTCACATTTCAAACTTTTCATCATACGATTGCACTAATGCTGTTGCACACATTAAGTGCCGTTGTACTTAACAGTAAAAAATAGATAGTATAGACATAAATTCTACATGCACAAGGAAATGAAACCAAACCAAACGAATCAGTGTGCTTCACTGTCTTACGGCATTTGCTTTATGGTGATGGTCTGGAACCGAGCCCACAATAGCTGAGGACTGCCGGCATCCAAATGTCCATAGAGCTGAGGCTGAGAAACTCTATTTTGGGGTGAGGCTATCTCTAGACTCTAAATCCCTTGAGGACAGAAACCAGGTCTGATACTCCTTTTCTAAGCCCCAGCATCATCTAGGTATTATAGCAGGTTCAAGTTAAATAATTCCATGCCAATTGCCCCCCATTTGGTTAAATCTTAGATCTTCCTCTCAACGTCCATGTACGGCCCCTCCTAGAGGATTTCCTACCCACTGCTTTGCTTCTGGAAGAAATTCCTGACTCCATTGTTCTCCAGAGAAAACCCTGGACTGCAAACACGTCTTGGTGGAAGGGCCTACCACCTAAAGGAGTCCACACTGTCCCCAGCTCCTGCTGACCAGCAGGCTGGGCCTTACAGCCCAGGCCCGTGCAAGCGGGGAGGGGGTGGACTCAGGAGTGCGGAGCTCGGGAGGATGGGGCTGGGGGCTCTACTGTCTTGGGGCTGCCTCTTTCTTGAGAGAGCGCGTTGTGGCCACGTTTCTATAATCACCTCTAAATGGGCAGGTTTGCCTTGGCTTGCCAGGGATTCTCATTTCCCGGAGAGAGCAGCGCGCTCAGGAGCTGTGCAGAGCTGGCAGCGCCAAAGCAGCATCTGGGTTTCCATCCTGATGTGTCGAGCAGGGAGTCAATCTGAGAGCCAGTGCCTGGAGGTCTCCCCAAGCACCCCCTGCCCTCCCGCCAGACCCAGAGGCTCTCCTGAAGCACTTAGCTGCAAGCCTGGCTGCATTTCTCACTCTACAAGCAGCAACTTAGACCTCCTTGGGTCTAAGAAGATGGCTAATTATCCCCATCGTTATAGGCGGGGGGTTACTTAGAGATGTCAGACTCAAGTTCCTGCATGGTTTCTTCTGATCCTCTGTAAGTGCCCTCAAACACTGTCCCTGCAACGCAAAGTCAGGATTGGCTGTTGTTAGTGCCCACTCAGAATCACAACACAGTAGCACTAAGAGTATGCTCAATGACCACCCCATCCAACCCCCCTCGTTTGTGGCTGAGGAAACCCAGGCCAAGGAAGGGGCTTGACTTGCCCATGCCACACAGCCAGCAGGCAAAGCCAAGGCTTAACCCTGGGTCTCCTGACTCTTGTTTTCAGCTGTTATCATTTTTACCTCTTAGAGACTCCATGTGACAGAGCAGAACTGCACCGTAGGGTTTGCTGCTCAGTCAGGAGCCTCATGCTTGAGCATTAGACTGCCAATGGCAAGGTCAGCAGTTCAAACCCACCAAATACTCCAAGGGGAAAGGCTGAGGCTGTCTCCTGTGAAGATGATCAGCCTGGGAAGGCCGACACAGGCTCACAATGAGTGGGAATTGGCTCAATGGTAGTGGGTTTGGGTTTGGACTCTTTGTGGGAGCTGACCGCCAGGTCTTTCTCCCCTGCCTGAAGCAGCTGGGTGAGTTCGAACTGCCAGCCTTTCAGTTAGTAGGCAAGGACTTAAGCTTTATGCCACCAGGGCTCCATCTATGACTTAAAACAACACAACCAAACTCCCTGTCATCGGTCGACACACAGGGTCCCTATAGGACAGAGCAGAACTGCCTGTGGGTTTCTGAGCCTCTTTACATGAGTCTAACGCCTTGATCTGTCTCCCACGGAGCAGCTGATGGTTTCGAATTGCTGACCTATGGTTTGCAGCCCCATGCAGAACCACTTGGCCCACCAGGGCTCTTGTCTATAACTACAGGGGGTGTATTTGTTGCCCAGTTCCGTTGGACTCAGCCTTGCAAAGACTAGCTCAGAAAAACAGCTGAAGATAAAGTGCTTGTACCACAAGCCAGATTCTCTTTGTTCTCGGTGGGCCAAGCCCCCTAACTCTAGGCAGAGTGCTTAAGGTACTAGTTTGATTTTGATTTAACCCTTGAACATTCCTTCTCCCTTAACCCTCTAAATTCCGTTAGAAAGCACTAGAAAAGAGCCAGCTTTATCCAGAATAGATCATAAAGGGGTCGTGCTGTGCATTGGGACATTTCCTGGAAAGGACATTGGGGGTCATCAAGGTAGACGCTCTCCTTTTCAGGAAGGGCCATCATTCATAGATTTTGTTTTCCGTCAGAGAAACTGAGGAAAGATTCACTAACAAATAGGATGGACGGATTTGGGGCTGTTGTTGATGAAGCAACTGAAAGAGAAGGTCATTGTTGTGGCTGGGTGTGGTCAGTTCAAAAAGCCAACTTTCTAGCGCTTATCCAAGGAGCCAGTCATGACCTCCTGCCACGAGAGAGGAGCCCCAGGTGAGAAGACCCCATCCGATCTCTGACCAGGTTACGAAGACTTCCCAGGCTGAGTGCCGGGCGCAGCGCAATCCGCACAGGGGTGAGGGTGGAGGCAGAATGTCCACTTCTGGTCTCTTACTACCCCACACGGGGCCCACTAAAGGGAACTCGGAGGTTTTCAAATCTACATGGGCTCCAAGAATGCCCCCCAGCCCCCTTCCCTGGCCCCCAGCTTCCAGCAGGATTGACACAGACACTGAGCCCGCAGAAAAGCCCACTTCCTCCTGGGCAGTTAGGAGGATGGGTTTAAAACAGTGGTTCTCAACCTGTGGGTTGCCACCCCCTTGGAGGTTGAACGACCCTTTCGCAGGGGTCGCCCGATTCATCACAATAGCAAATGACAGTGATGAAGTAGCCACGAAAATCATGTTATGGTGGGGTCACCACCACATGAAAGGGTCGTGGCATGAGTAAGGTTGAGAACCACAGATTTAAAAGGAAGAACTGGGTCTTTGTAGCATCTGGAATAAATCAAGCTATGAAGCGTCACTTGATGTAGAATGTGTGGCCCCGCTTAAACAAGCCCCACAAAGATTAACCAAAAGATCGTCAAGAAAGTGCTTTCTCATCTTGAGGGCCTTGCAACCTTACACCTTGGACTGCCGGTAGCCCCCATGGGGCTTGGGCTGTGCCCCACTGTCTGATGTCCACCAAGGTGGGGCTGGCAGTTCAGGGAATCATCGCCTGACAAGGTATGCCATGGGGTGGCTGCAGAAGCGGTCTAGGGTGAGCCGTTAAAACTTGATCTCATGAAAAGGATCCTCCTGGCTTAGTAGCAAGAGTAATTCCTCTGAGCAGAGAGGTCCTGGAGTACTATCCTTTCTCTCCCGTCTGAGGGAGCTTCTCGGATGTCCTGCCCTCCACCAGCTCCCTAGCAGCATCGGTGGCCGAAACCGTGGACCAAGCCTCACCCCCACCCCAATGCATATGACACCGCGACCATGGCACCACACCGCCCGACCCGACCTGCTTCTACACACCTTGTCGGAAGGAGACATACACCATTCTCTCATCAAACTTCTGGACCCGCCGGAAGTTGTTGACCATTTCCCTGGGGGAAGGATCATCCACCTGTGTGCAGTACAGAGCTGTCTCCAAAGCCAGCAGCTGAGGAAAAGAGCAGAAATGGACCCCGGAGGCCGGGGATGCTAGGGGAGACCCTGGAAGCAGCCCCCCCAGTGCCTGGTGGGAGACACATCAGAAAGCGGTTGGAAGACCAGAGACCCGCTGCATTTGGCCTGGAGGGCGCCCCGCACTGCTGGCTCTGTCCCCCACCGCCCAGGGTGCAGGGAAGGTCAGGGCTGTTAGGTTCCCATTACCTGGGTGGTTGGGGGCTCCTCTGCTTCGCCTCTCACGAGCCCCCTTTGGAACTCAGCTCTAAATCAGAGGGGCTTGGTCTGAGGGTCAGAGGGGCTTGTCTGAGGGTCCCTCAGAGGAGGGAGGAAGAGTTCATGGGTCATCTGACACTACTTGTAATTTCCATTCCACACCCACACAGGTTATATAATCCATCTCCAAGGCCGACTCAGATGCTCCCGCTCCCGCCCATCTCCTCTCTGATTCAGCCCGTCTCTCTCCCCGTCCGCCTACTGCTGCCATTTACCCAGCTCACTCCCAGTGAAGCTCATAGGAAAAAGGGGGTTCCTGGGACTTGGGCTGGGTGCAGCGCCGCCCAGGCCTGTCTCCGAGCCGAGCACTTCTTTGTGAAGTCAAAGGATGAGTTGGGGCTCAGGGACCTGGCTTTGAGATTCAGCCACGTCACTAGTCAGGGTGTGATTTCAAGTCTCCTGAGCATCCTAGCCCTCATGTCCATCCTCAAAAAAAAAAGAGGGGGCCGAAATGACTGCTAAGGATTTTTATCCCAGTTGTGCACTGGAAGCTTCTTGAGGGCAGGGACCCCGATTTCCCGTCCCTGCATTCTCAGCTCCCCTGTGTGTTACATGGCAAACCCGATCCTATCTGCCCCTGCCCATGGCAAGGAGCTGTGTTCTCTCCTGCCTGGGGAGTGATGAGAGGGCTACAGGGGGCAATGCGACTTGACCCCGCCTTGGGCCCTGTTCTCGTTTCCTAGCTCAACTCCACAGCTCCGCTTCTGAAGCCCCGTCCGGAGTGTCTGCAAGCACGGCAGCACCCCGGAGTACTGCCGTCGATGGACTCTGAGTCATGGCGAGTGGCACTGGGACCTTGGCTCCTTAGGGTTTCCAAGGTTGATTTTCATCTGAGACACCTCTAGGTGGATTTGAACCTCTGACTTCTTGGTGAGCAGCCACGTGGGTTCGCCATGGGCACTCAAAGGCCCCTTCAGTATTTGGGAAAGATTCCAAACAGCTGACTCTGAGTGAGATCACGTCGGAGGGGCTGGGTAGGGACGGAGACTTCAGGCGGACGCTGGCTGACAAATACCTGTTCTTGGGAAACTTGCACGGGGTTTCGGAAGACAGTCCAGAGCACGGTGGGGTGACAAGGTGGCGTGGTCAGGGAGCCTCGGTAGCGGTAGTACTCACTGGGCCTCTCAGGAAGCAGTTCTTCAATGTTGAACCCTGGAACGGGCACTTCCTGGCCTGGAGAGACGTGTTGGGGAACAACGGGGTTAGCCTCACTCCAGAGAGCATATGGTGGAGCCTAGACATGGGAAGGAGCCCTGTTCTGGGCTGCCCAGGCCTGAGACCTGGTCGCAGCACTGCTCGACAGCCGCTGCCCTTAGCCTGGCGGTCACAGGCAGCACCTGCCCTGCATTTCTTTTCTCTGAGGTCACAGGTTCTTGATAGCTGCTGAACAGTTGGGCCCTGACCCAGCGTAACCCGAACACGGCCGAGCCTCCAGCAGTGGCTGTGCATCGGACGGCTGTGGCCCCAAAGACTTTCCTGCGTCGGTTTTCCAAAATAGATCACCAGGTCTTTCTTCCTAGTCTCTCTGAGTCTGGACACGCCACTGGAAGCTGGTCAGCATCATAACCACATACACGCCCCCACTGATGACATCGGGGTGACCCTACCCTTCTCTAACAGAGAGAGAAAAAGCATCCAAGGACCACTCACCTTTGTACTTTACATCTTGCAGGTGACTGAATATCTTGTCATAGGATGGATTGAAGGAGCCCATCTACAACAGAGACCGGGCAGGCAGTTTGAACGATTGAGCTGGGACAGAATTCTATAGGCTGGAGCTCAGCTGACAAATGCCAGTGGAAAGCTGAGCTGGTGAGACATAGCAATTGCTGTGGAGGCCAGGCCTGAAGGGTAGTGACAACGGGTCACTGGTCGGTCAGGGAGTCAGTATAGCCTGTGTCTTGCTCATGGCACCAACATTTGAGTGTCCCAAGACACGGGGACAACCAGCACTGCTGGTGAGCCTGAAAGCCACCACTAACCTGTTTCCCTAACCCAGAACTTAGGAGGGCTCTGAGTTCCTGTAAGATAGATAGCCATATTGGGAAGTGAGGTATATACTGTCTCATTATGGGGGGAAATATAAATGAATCTAGGAGACATTTCCATTCTGGATACAGAATGAAAGAAGAAATTATTCCGTGTTCTAAATATACGTTCTTTAATACGTGAGGTAGTTAGTTTATGGTGCCAACCTGGCCAATAAACACATGCGGGGTTAATTGAAGGGTGGAGGGATAAATGGCTCGGTGAGTCTCGCCTTTCTAGTTCTCGGGTCTCTTGCTTTCTGATGGTCGGACCAGGGTGCAGCTGCCTTAGCCAGTTCCCTGCTTCAGCTGG